AATCCTTACCCATAGTACAAGCGGGTTAAACAATGACTTAGTGCCATCAGCATTTCATTTATATATAGATCACATTTTAATTTTTAAATAATAGATTTATGGGGGCATTTAGTTTGTTACAACCTTACTTCATTAACTTAAAATTTCATATTACAAAATGAGAAAATTAAGCATCTTCTAAACATACTAAAACATAATTAAAACGCAATAGAACATATTGTAGATAGATCATCTCGAAAGATGGACAACATATCCAAAAGATGCCTCAAATGCGTTAAAAGGATTTTCGCGGCAAAGCCGGAGAATCTCATATTGGTCACTTTCAAATGTGACGTTGAAATCGAACTCCTACCTTCGGTAATCGTCGAAACAAAGTCGGATGCTTCTTCTGGTCCCAAACAGACTGCTACATAAGAAAGCAAGACGGTAAAAAAATTCTTAAAAGTTTCTGGCACATAACTTGGGAATACAGCTTGGGAATACGACCGCTATCAAAAAGAGGGAAGAAGATACAACCATTCTCAAAAAGATGGTTAAAAGGTGAAAATTGATCTCTCCAATAAAAAGGAAATTACAGCATTTGAGAATCTAGAAAATTTTGATTTTCTCAAAGAAGAAAAGCCAACAAGCTCAAAAAACATATAAGATTTTTGAAACTCTTCGTTTTGAAGACATGGGGGATGGGCCTAAAAGGCTAACGAGCCCAATACTCAAACTGGGCCAAACCCAAACTTGATACTTCTCGTAACGAAGGGGAGACGCCGAGATGAAAGGATAATGTGACCTCCATTACGGTTGATTGCAGATGTTACTTGAGAAGCCTCCAATCAGTTTTAATCGTGACGGAGAGTGGTTCGAGCCTCGCCAGAACTTCTTTTGAGATACATCTCCCACGAGGGAGAATAAAGTTGATTCCTTTGTAGCAGCTCTGATATGGCAACACCGGAGGATGAGAACTAGTAGAGAAAGTGGAGAGTAACAGGGGTAGGAGGCAAGACGCAGTGTGAGAGGCAGTTCCGGCGGATCCGGTGGTGGTTCCGGAGGCACTTGCGGTTGAAGGTGCTCTTGCAGCTCCAATAGATTCACCACCACCAACGTATTGGCCAGGGAGATCGAACAAGCTCGACGCAGCTCAACCATCACCAAGGAGAAAGAGATACATGACATACCGGTGAGATTTTGTAAAAGGTCTTCCCAAAGGGAGAGGATTCTTCGGGCACTTTGGGCTCTGGCACCGGTCATATGGAGACGGAGGAGCGATGTTGCAGATCCATTCTACTCACGTTGAAGCTTGCGGTGGCCACCTCGATAAAAGTGCCTAAGAGAAAAAAAAGCCTAAGACAGTTTGTAAAAATTTGTTTAATTCTAGATTTATGGGGCTACAAACATTAAAATAAGATAAAATAAAATATCTTTTAGGTCTCATATATAAAAAAAAAAAACTTTTTGGATAACAAATATATATGGGTTTGTAATAGGGTGATTTGCAACATTAACCAAAAAAATATATATATTTGCAATCTAATGAAAATAGCATGATGTGGAGAAATGTGAGTCATTAGATTATGATTATTTGGTTAGTTAGTGAAATATAATTTTTTTTAGGTTATTTTAGCCAATTTCCCTTTGTAATATGTGTCTAAGCTAA